ATAACGTGTAACATAATTTTCAGTGTTGTACTCAGCTGAGACTGTACAGTGAATGGCATATCGGTACAGCACCAAGACTCTGAGATTCAAAAGGTGGAAGAAACCTACATTTGATTCCCAGTTTTCTCGATGTTTAAATTCTCTGAGTCTTACATCTTTTACTTTTAAAATAATCAGCATGCCATTCTCATGAAATTGCAGAGAGCATCGAATAAGGCAATGAATGAGAAAGCATTGGCATGATGCATGCTTTATACAAAGAGCTTAATAAATCTTTGTTTAATTTAAATTTAATATAAACATTAAAGTATTCTTGCTCTTCTGCTTAAGGAACACCCCCTGCCTTTTTTCTCCCCTCCCTCTTATCATAGTTTCTTGCTCTTCATATATCTTTTATATATTGTTTTTCAGTCAGGCTTCTTTTTGTAAATTCTAATTCATTTAAGCAGCAAATATTAGGTAATTCACAGAATCTGGGAGAACCAGAAAATTGGGTTTGGGGGCTAAACTCTACTATTCCAGAGAGACCTTAAGCCACTGCCACTGGGCAACAGTACCACGCCTTCCCCCACCCACCCCCGCCAGTGCCACCTCAGGATGCTACCACTGGAACTCTTGTCACTCCCTCCTCCCTCAGGCTTACCCAGAGTGGAGTCCCCAGAGGGTTGAATGGTTGCATCTGATCACCAGTCTTTGTACCATGGCTACAAGTTATGACTTCTATCTTAAGAGAAAGGAAACAAAAGGAGAGGAACTCCACAAACACACAAAAGCTATTGAAGGGTTCCACATGGCCACAAAGCATAACCATTCCTCCTTGCTCTTTGTTTGTTATGATCCTCATCCAGGTGATCAAATTGTGTTTACTCAAGAGTTTCTAGAAACAGAAAAGCTGAAAAAGATCATCAAATGGCAAAAATTTTAAGGCTAATAACAAACCACAAAACATTGATTGTCTCAGCTGTCCTCATCTCCACTTCTCATTCTCTAGATATATAAATGTGTGTGAGAGTATTATACCATACAAAGATAGAACTATATTACGCTTATAGCATATAGGTTGATTGATCTAGCAATTGATTGATTTAACAATTATTGAACATCTGCAAGGAACAAAAAATGTAAATATAAATGTGAATGAGATCTATGCCCTTCATTCTTGGAACTCACACCCTAATTAGAAAATATGTCGTGTAAGCCACTAATTATAGGCAACATGAGAAGAGCTTTAACAGGGAAGACACAAAACACTGTGCACACAGATAATGTTTAGAGATACGCATTCTAACGCCTGTAATAGGAAACCCAAGATTAAAGGTATTGTTCGATAACACCTATATCACAGAAATATTGCTAAGTTTGTTTTGTTAAATAGGTGACTGGAGATATGTCAATAGACTGTTGTGTGATGCTGATAAGTTCAGATTTTACTGTGTGCTTTCGATTTTTATTCATATCTAAGTTTTTATATCTTTCATTGCCTTCAAATCATTTCAAGCTTCATTGTTATTCAGGTACTCACTGTAAAATAAAATTTTAGATCATAGAATGTCCTTGAAAATAGAAACTTCTTACTATAATACTAATGTTTTGGTTTCTAATCTTGAAACATTATAGTTTTTAATTTACATTTCTTATGTATACTCATTTAATAACCAACTTTAAATTCAGTAATCACATTTCCCCTAAGCTTTGATTAGAACAATTATAGTAAATGAAAATAAGAAAGTAATTTCTGTAAAGAGACTCATAAAGCATCTTTTTCAAGCCATAAAGCAGCCTTCTAAATAGTTTTTTTGGTGGGGGCGGGGGGGTTAGCATTAGGGCTACAAAAAATTTCTTCCTGTTCTGCTTGAGATACACAAATCCAAAACTCTCACTGTGTACTCGTGTTCTTTGTCTTGATCTCTCCTAGTACTATGAGTCCCGGCAAAAGACTTAGCACATAAAGCTATCCAGTAAATGCTATGAATTTCTGGACCTCTAACCTAGACTAAGAAGGTAGAAACATCAGCAGAAAGTCTCTTCAAAAATAGAAACCCTGTGAACAGATAAATAGAAAAGAAACAGATAATTGAATTTTTACTTCTACTCCAAATTTTCTTTAGCCCTAAACTCTCTTGGCCAATGTTTAGTTTTGGTTTGCCTTAAAGAACAAAAATATGCCTCAGCACACATCTAGGGGAGATCTCCATGAAGATTGCTACATCCACTTATGTTATAAACTGAGTGGTAACACATGACTGAATATTTTCTGTCAACTCACTGCTGTACACTGAAAACTGAAGATAATATTCTCAGTTACATAATTCCCTCACACTGGTCTCCTGAATGTTGTGTTTTTTAAATGCTAATAAAATATATAAGAAAAAAATAAAGGTTACAAATATTGTAATTAGAAGAATTTTTTATAACATCTTTTACCCACTGTGATAAAACCAAGCCAAAGCACTAAACTTGTTTCATAAAGGCCCAGGGATTATGAAGGGGTCACTACAGCTCTGTTAGGATGAGAGACAATAAAGTTTCTGCATGTGTGGATCCCTCTCAGATTCTCCTCTCTAGAAGTGGAAAGATTGAGGAAGTATATCTTGTTCTTATATCTTTATTCTTTTACCCCCAAATCCCTCAAATGCCCCCAACAGACATGCACACACACTCAGACACACACAGTCACACTCATACACAAGTAATGAAGACCCAGAATCATTGTGCCTTAAAGGAGATTGAAGTTTGTTTCTCTCTCAGATAAAAATCTGGATGTGAGCAAATCAATCTCTGCTCCACGAAGCAGAGCTTCCATCTTGTTACTCCACCTTGTGTGGCTTCCATTCTCAAGGACATTACCTCCACTGCCTTATCTTCAGGCCAGCCAGCAGGAAGGGCAAAGGCAGAAGGATGGGGCAAGCACAGGGAACACGGCATCTGTTTTTTAAGGACGCTTTCTAGAGCTCCCATACAGCACTTCTAATTACATCTCTTTGGCCTGAACCTAATGACATGACCATACTCAGATACAATGGTAGCTCAGAAATGTCATTTTTATTCTTTCATAGTGTGCTCCCAATCAACACATCTAGGTGTAATAATTACGGAGCAGAGAGGGTAGAATGCATATTGGCAGACGTTGAGCAAGCCACCATGGGGTTCAGCCCCACTTTCCCTCCCATGATGTAGTGGGTGGGGTTTCACGCTCAGAGGTTTCAGAGCAGATTATTTTCCTTTTCTGCCCTCCCTATACTACCTTTCCCTCTTGCTCTTAATCCACCAAGAGCTTCATTCTTTTGTATTCAGACACACTTCTCCTGCTCAAAGGAGAAAAGAAGGAGGCAATTAGAGAAAGACAGACCAACTTCCACAATTAAAGCTACTGGGTACAGCAGTTCCCCCTTGTCTGCAGTTCTGCTTTCCATGGTTTTAGTTATCCGAGGTCAACCATGGTTCAAAAATATTAAATGGAAAATGCCAGAGATAAACAATGCATAAGTTTTAAATTGCATGCCCTTTGTGTAGCATGATAAAATCTCATGCAGTCCTGCTCCATCCTGCCCAGGACGTGAATCATCCCTTTGTCCGTTATATCCATGTTGTATATGCTACCCACCCATTAGTCATTTAGTAGCTGTCTGGGTTAGCAGACTGACAGTTATGTGTACATCACATGTGCCATACTTGTGTGCAAGTAGACCTTATTGTACTTAATATTGGCCTCAAAGAGTAGTGATGTTGGTGACTCAGATATGCCAAAGAGAAGCCATAAGGTGCTTCCTTTAAGCGAAAAGGTGTACATACATAGGAAAAAACATAGTATATATAGAGTTTCATCAGTGGGGTACTTGGAACATAATCCCCATGGATAAGGAAGAACTGCTGTAAATTTGAATAGGAGGAAATGAGCTTGTGTGTTTACTATCTAAATTGAGACTGCAGTCGGTTTTAATTGAACACAAAATATCTTGTTTGATCCTAAGTAGTAGAACAGGGTTTTCATTTGCTAGTAAGTGGATTTTAGATTTTTTCCCAAAAGAAACTAAACTTTAGGGATAGTTACAATATTATCTCATTCAAACAAAGCTCTGGAACAAATATTCTCTGGGGGGATAGTAATCTCTGTGGGTAGCAGAATCAATAATTTAAATACTAATTTAAGCTGCAAATACAGCCGTAGTTATCTAGGCAGTTGTTCTCATACTTCACAAAGTACTAGAGGTATCCTTGAAATCTCGAGTTTCAAAGAAGAGAGCAAAGCACACAGAGCCATTCCACCTATTTTTATTTTATGTATTGACTTTTATATGAGGCATTGTTTAAAAAATAGGTTTTGACTACTTTTAAATATTTGACCTCATTGTTTACAACCTGAATCTATTTCTTGAGGACTTGCTTTTTGTGGACATTATAGCCTTGAAATTCCTAGGCCTTTCAGGAGCTATTAACAAAGTAAAAATAGAATGGACATATATAAACACTTCTGCTGGCTTGTCATCGACATAGTTTTGTAGAACCTATTTAACTTGTTTAAAAACATCACAATGATGTTTGCAAAATAGGTTCTCAATATGTCTTGATTAATGAGATTATATTAGTAAGTATTTTGGTATCGCAGGCCATCACTACTTATCTGTATAATTAAAATTATTTTCTTTTAGTCATTTAATTTTTGCTTTTTAATTCTTAAGATTTTTTTATTGTGTGAATATATTTGTTGCCTGGGGGAAAAAAAACTGTATAGTTCTGTCTAGGTCAACGTACACAGAGGAAATGATGACTGACTGACAAGACCTGGTAAGTTTGCATATTACAGCTTCACCACAACTTTATTGTTATCAGAATCCTCTCAGCAGTCTCACTTCATCTGTCAAATAGTCCATGAGCACAAAAGAGAGCAAAAGCATTTGTAATCTTGTCGTTGTTAATTATAAAAGTCCTATCATTTCCTTCTGGTAGATCAGCTACTTAAGTAAAAATCACATCTCTAAAGGAATAGTTGTTATTACACTCTAAATAAAATACTCTAAGAATTTATTTCTCTCAGCATCTGTTTCTTCATTTTCCAACTCATATTTCTTCATGGCAACAAAATATCGAATAAAAGTTTCTCCTAGAGCATGTTTCAGACACTGATCTTCCTCCAGTGCCACAAGGGCATCTTCAAGTTTCAAAGGGATCTCAGAAGGTTTTGACTGATAAAGCTCTGTGCTGTCTTCTGAATCAACCAAGACACCGTTGCTGCTTTGAAGTCCATCCAAGCCTGCAGCAACAGTCGCGGCCAGCACCAGGTAAGGATTTGCCGTTGCTGAGCCCAGTTTATTTTCTATTCGGGCACCTTTCTCCCCATGACACTTGATATTAAAGGCACAGCTGTTATCGTTATATCCCCATGTTGTAGGCACACTCTCCTTCTGGTCTTTACTCTCCTTAGCATAACGTTTTCGGCAGCTAACAGCAGGAGCCATCAGGCAGCTGAGAGCAGCAGAGTGCTTCAAGAGTCCCGACAACCACTTTTTCCCAGTGATCGTGAGCTGCTCAGTTCCAGAACTGCTGCAGAACATGTTTTTCTTCCCACCAACATCCCAGAGACTATGAGACAAAATTCCTGAATTGCAGAATCCGGTCTCAATGAAAAAGCTGGTGATATAATTATATTTCCTTGCTACTTCTTTGACACCTGTTCTGAGGGTAAATGCGTTATCAGCTGAATTGATGCCCAATTCGGGCAGAAAACAAATTTCCACCTGACCAGGCCTGGTAGAGGAGGAAAAGCTCTCGACATTGGCTCCAGTGTGATATAAACCATCAACGAGTTCCTGAATGAAGGGTTGGTCATGATTATTTAGCAATGTTGAAGCAGGAAAAGATATGGTCTTTGAGTTGATAATTTCGGGTACACCAAAAATGCAAAAATCATAAATGAAGGCAGAGAGCAAGGAAAAGCCAGAATCCTGCAGCTGGCTCAGCTGCCTCTTTGCGATGTACCTCGGGGAAGTGAGTAGAGGCTCACCAGTCACAGTGAACGTATCACATATCACTCTTGCTGTTCTCTCAGCCCATGGCAAAACTCTAAAGGTTGATAATTCTGGCATTAGGACTATGTCACTATTAAAACATGTTGCTCTTATGTGATCCACTTCATTGTCCTTAGGATTCGGTATCAATTCAAGATAACCTCGAGGCATGAAAACACCATGGATCACTTTTTCCTAAAGGAGTTAAGGGATAGAGTAATTAGGTTTTAAAACTTTAAAACAAACAAAAAGGGGTAGTGGAGGGGAGCTTGCTAACGAAGAGAAAATGTTTCACATCTGTTGGTCACTAACTAAATATTTTAAAATAAAACCCCAAAGCTACTTTTAAAAACAGCTCAATATTTTTAAAAACAACTCATATAAAGCCTTGAAGGTTTTATATGCTCTGGAATCTGAAAACAGCAGTCATAAATAAATGGTATAATGATTTTAAAAATGTCTTTATAGCAAATGACAAAGGTAAATAAAGCTTACGGAATTATTCAAAATGACCATAACCAAGAGTACTTTTTAAAGGACATTTTATTTTATGATATAGTTCCTAATACTTCAGATAAGACTTTATTTTGGCTTATTCTGTAGTAATCTCCGTAGTTAACTGACTCTAAAAAGTCTACAGTAAAAAATTTTCCCTCCTTCCCAGATTGCTGACTGTAGTCAGTTCTGTGATACACACGACAGTCATCATAACACCAAAGGAGCCAGGTCTGCTGACAGCTTCACTCCTCTCTCATTCACATTTACAACCCACTTAAGAATGAACTACCTCCCAGTCTCAGAGTCCCAGAAACCTTGCCCAGGAATGTGGACCCATATCTTCAAAGTTATCTTTTCTAAAATGTTGTAGCCTTTAAGTCAGCATGAACTAGGGGTCACCAAATCTGATTTCTACTCCTAGCTCTTTCATTCATTACTCATGTGAAATTAAGCGAATCTCTGAACTGTGTGCCTCAGCATCCATGTCTATGAAACGAAAGTATTAGAGTAGGTGATTGCTAAGGCACTTTCTAGTCATATACCTCTCAGGTTTAATGGATTTGGTCATTTATTTAACTTCTGCTATGTGCCAGACAACAGGGAAGTGGTGAGGTTATAAAGTTGAACAGACACATAAAACAATTTCTAGAAATTGTGTAATAGAGTTATCAAAAAGTCTTCACGTGTTGAAGGTTACATTAATGGACAGAGAAAAAAACAACTATAAAGTTTGGTTCCCAGGATGTCAGTGAGCATCATGAAGTTAATAAAACATACTGACATTCTGCAAGCCAAATCATTTCCTGTATTACCTTTGAATCTCAAAGAGCAAAGCTACCAAAGATGGGTTGGGGATAGCAGAGGCAAAGCTACTAGTTCACCCTTCCACTGCCATTGACTGTGTGCCACTGCCACCTTCACGTTCCACCATCTCTACACATATTTTCAAATCCATTTGACTTGTCTGATCCAAATCTGCTTTTATTAATAATAAAGTTGAGCAAGTCAAGCACCATTTATGTTATTAATATTATGCAGATTTTTTCTAAATTTAAATACAATTTTAAAACAATTCTTTGATAAAACAAAGACAGTATGAGTTGGTTGTGAATTTAAATACTGTTTGTAAAACATTTAGCATCGTGCCAGACACATGGTAAGTTCTCTAAAAGAGTTGCTGCAATTTAAATGTGTTTGTATTAACTTGGTTGTAAACAATAGAGAATAGCTTGTTACTATTTTATTTCAATAGTCTTTCACAAATTTAAAAAATAGTAATAAGTCACAACTTCAGGTTATTTAATCTGTATTTTTCTGAGCACACTTATTTAACTGTCATTTCCTGTATTCTTTTTTAGGCGTTCTGAATTCAAACTACTCTTTATTACTAGTGGGAAATATGTAAATATATATAAACAGATCTTGTTCATGACAATAATTGTTTTCTTAAATTGCATTTACAAATATAAAGCACTAGGACGACTTCATACTCCAATACAGATCCCAGGAACTCAATAAAAATTCTTACAGAATAGCTCAAATCTCTATGATAACTGAAATTTGGGCCACTGTTAAGGTACCATTTGAAATAACCCGAAGAATTGGTTATGAGTTCTATAGCAATATATCATGCTTTGATTAGACCAAAAGTAGAAAGCACCTATTTTATCTGCATATAATCTAAATAAAAAACAATTCTTTGATAGAACAAAGACAGTATAAGTTGATTGTGAATTTAAATAAACTAATGTTTGTAAAGCATTTAGCATAGTGCCAGACACATGGCAAGTTCTCTAAAAGAATAGTAGATGACTTGTTTTTAAAAAGCAATATTTTTTCAATTTCATAAGAAAGAACACTTAGCTCCAATAAACAATAAAAGGAAATATAAAAGCTGGAAGCAGAAGATGCAGTTAAAAAAAACAAAAACAAAAAGAACCTCTGCAAATGGAAGTGAGGCATCACTGACTGACATCCCAGTTCTGCTACTAACTGCCTGTACTATTTTTAAAATGTTTTCATTAACTTTTCTGGCCTCATTCCCCTCATCTATAAATAAAGAAGATGGATTATATTATCTCTTATATCCCTTCATGGTCTAACAATAATTTTCAAATTGATATTTTATTTTCCACTAATAGAAAAAGTTTAAAAATTGTTTTATAAGGATTGAAATTACTTTACACTAAGCCATTGGCAAATTCAAATTATTGACTCCACTCTTTGTTTAATGAATTTCCCATTAAACACACATTGTTTAGATTGGTTTGCACAGATGAATCTATTTTTAATGTCTATTCACAATAAATTTTCCAAAGTCAATTACTTAATCTTAAATTACAAATATTCATGGTAAAAATTTTTGTTTATACCTTTACAAGTTCCAAAACAAACGAATTATTTTGTTAAATATATATAGATGCTGTATGATCATTAAATAAGAATAAAATAATAACTGGGTAATGAAAGGAATAATGAGATATATTAGAAAACTGGGGCTAAGAATAAATACAATTGAGAGGAAGTATAATGAGTTATATTAAAACATTCATGATAGACAAACTTCTTCCCTATCTAAACTTCAAAAAAAAAAAAAAAAAAGGGTAGATCTTATACGTGGGACGTTGAACAAGATAATGGAAAATATCTTCAATAGCATTTTTTAAAAAGAATGCAGACATTTTCTCTTTATGTCAATTATATCTATCCTCTGTAAATGTAGGGAGTATATTAAATTATATTTTCATATTTTCTAGTTCCATTGGGACTAGAGTAAGGTTTTAAATATATAGTTTTAAATGCCATTAGTGGAATAAATTATTAGAATTAGACAGTTATTTTTTCTTATTGATTGAAAGAAATTCAAGTGTTCTAGGCCTGTCCACAATAAATTTCACATTTTGTTAACAAAATTAAACAACATGCCTTCTTGCCTGAAAGAAGAGGAAACAATCTGCAGGGAGATTTGAAGAATTTCTTAAGAAATAAATTTGAATCTGTTGGAATTATTTTAAAAAGGGTTTTGAAGATTCCGTTTTTTCCAACATAAAGCAAATGAGAAAAATTACAATTTGATTTTAAGTGATAAAAGTAAGATATATTCAAAAAAATTTTAAGGATTGTTTTACACTTTTGTATATAAACCTCACTAACGTCTCTTCTTAAGAAATGATGCTTCAGTAGCACAATAAATTTGTCATTAAAATAAATACACGATATAAACTGAAAAAAATCTCAGAAAGTCTCAAAACATATCCAAAAATGCAATATTTCTTGATACCACTATTTTTGAGAACTTAATATTTATTGTCATCCAACAACAATAGGGTATTTTCTTATCAGAATTAGAAGGTAAAAGGAATATGCTTTTTATCTAGCCAATTCTCTCTATTTAATTATTTTTTTCCTTTTATATTAGCTCCTGGGTCTTCTGTTGCAATTTTCTCAAGTCAAACAAAATATCATCTTCATAATTGCAGTAAGAAAAAAAAAGATAATTCTGTGGAGGAAAATTATTCAAAGCAGAAGGACTAAAATTACCAGTCTTAATTAGTTTTCTATTTCTATTGGGTATAGGAATTACTGTTTGGGAGCTGAAAGTATATGCTCAGCTCCTTGGGGAGCACTAATGTATTTGCAGAGAGACAAGAGAAGGAACAAAATAAATGACTGGTTTTCAGCTAAACTTTATGTATAGATTACAATAAAACAAGAAAGAGTAGTAAGGACCATTTGCTTGCTAATGCTCAGAAAATTACATTCAAGCATAACTCTATTTGTAAAACTCACTTGGAAAAATTGTGCAGGGATACTCTTAGACCTGGACACTCCATGAAGATCTGTTGCTTCAAATCGGACAAACTGAAGGTGATTTTTGGCCATCTCTTGTTTAATGTGCTTCATTCTAGAGGAGAGTTGGGGTGCGGTTGGAATTTGAGTGCTGTCTCTGGTGTTATCTGTAAAATAAAGAATGGTTCTAAAGCATTAGATCTTGATGAACTGCGAAGGAAAAAGAGAGAGTAGTTAATTATTCATTATGATTATTAATAAAAACATCATATATTCATGTAATTGGTTTAGAGTTAGAGATCTTACTTTTCTTCCTCAGCCTTTACCATATTCCCAAGAATATTTTCTCTAAACAGCCTAAGAAATTGTTTATCACTTGAGACTAGGTAAAAGTTAACATTACCTACATAAGTATATAGCAATGTTATAAGTAAGTACTTACTGAAAATGCCTTAGCTTATGAAAATTAAAATATATTTGTAGCTGTCAAAATATAACTTGATGGCTTTGGCACTGTATAAATCTGTATATAGCCTCCTACCATTAAAAACACTTTGAGCTTCTTGAACTAACTGGTAACACCTAAATTAAAATATCTTGTATGTTTTTTGTTGTGTTTTGTTTGCCAGAAGGGCTTCACGTCTTTATAATGGCATCTGAATCTAAGACATCTACACCTTTTTGCCGAATTTAAAGTTTGTATAAATAAGCAAACAAGTGTTTTTTTCAAGATTAAGAGTGCAGGAGATGAAAAATCTAGACTGAGTACTCAGTTTTAAAATTAAAAACCTAAAACATAAATCCTTTTCAAGACTTTTAAGATAGTCTTCAAATTCTAACACTTTTGAGTCAGAAGAGACTTTGGAGATAAATGATCTAATACAACCAACTTGTTAGCTTGAGTCCCAGAGATGTACAATGAGTCTCTCCAAATCATACTGTCAAGTCCATTGGCAAAATTGAAACGAGAATGCAAACATTTTGATTTCCAGCGGGTGGCTCATCACCATAAAATAACTGAATATGTCTAAAGCATATAGAAAGGTCAGGAATATATTACCCATCATAAATGTTAGCTACTGTCCAAACTTTTAGGAGAGGCAGCAGACAACAGTAATTCTGCACAAACACTGAAGCCCATCCGCCTCCCTCCAAATCCTGCCTTTGCCCCAGTGACTTTCTTATCCTCTCTGTGCCTCAGCTTTCTCATTGATACAATATACCTACAGCCTTGTTATAACGATTAAACAAGTTGTTTAACAGTTTCTGGCAGACAGTAAGAGCCATATAAGTGCTTCTCAAACACATAAAGTGAGTACAATTACTCTAAGTGTAGTAATGGTACCATAATCATGTCTGAATCTGAATACCCATCAATCTGCCACATCACTGATACTGAGCAGCTATAATTTTAAAGTGATACCTGAGTATCCTTTTTCAACTTGTAATTAGGCTTTAAGAATAGCATAAAGATTGACAATTTAAAAACATAGACTAAATAGATTTTAAGTACATGAAGCATGAGGAAAACAAATTACTGATTCCACCTATGCAAATATATTAGAGATAATGTCCCGTCACTGATACATTGGGCTACTGAGACTCCTGAGGGTTTATAACTACCTTCCATTTAACACAAACAGTTAAGCTGTAGCAATTACAATATTTCATGCTAAAATAGCAGTTGCTGTGTTCCCAACATATTCTGAACTATGGGGTATTCTGCCCAAATTGAATAATTCTCCTTAAAGAAAATAAAATTTATAGGCATTTTAAAATATGGAAAATTTCAGATAATCAGTATTCTAATCATGATTAGCAATTATCTATAAGCTATAAATATTTTAACAACATAAAAAAATAAGAATGTATCTCCTATTAAAGAGTAAGGCCATTTTATTCATTCACCAGTAATATGATTACAGGTACTCTTATTGGTTCTTTGCCTTATCTGTATCTTATTGAGTTTCTATAATAAATATGTATTATTTTAAAATAAGAACAATATTGATCGACTCAAGATAGATTTCTTTTAGTTACCACTACTATTTATACTGGACATATACCTAGGAAGCAGCCAGAGAAAGTCTTGCCCTCATAGAGCTTTATCTTATTAAGTGAGGGAACTATAGACAATAAATGTGCTATCGAATACAAAGGTGAGATAATTTGCCATGGTGAAAAGTTCTGAAAAAAATGAATAAGGCATAATCACCTGGAATATTAATCTATGAGATTTGATCACAATGTGGACAGGTCCAACCACTGATTTACTTTAAGATCACCAAGTTTCACTACAGCCGAACAACGAGCATATGTATTAGTTTGCTAGGGCTACCATAGCAAATAACACAGACCAGGTGGCTTATATAGAAATTTGTTTTCTTACAGTCCTTTGGGGGTAGAAGTCCCAGATCAAGGTGTCAGGAGGGTTGGTCTCATCTGAGGGCCTCTTTCCTTAATTTACAGATGTTTGACTTCCTTACATGGTCTTCCTTCTACATGTGTATATGTGCATGTGCATCCTAATCTCTTCTTCTTATAAGGACACCAGTCATATTAGACTAGGGGTCACCCCACACAACTTATTCAACATTAATGACCTCTTTTAAAACCCCATTTCTTAATATAGTCACATTATGAGGGGTTAGGGCTTCAACATGTGAATTTTAGGGAGACACAATTTGGCCCATAACAATTATCACCCTGTTCTCATTTCCTTTAGAGTCCTTATCACCACCTGCCATATTGTATAAGCACATGTTTTCCGTCTGCCTTTCTCTATTTGCCTGTCAGCTCCAAAAGAGCAGGGGCTTAGCTTTACTTGCTGCCGTATGCCCAGTACCTGCAGCAGTACAAGCATATTATAGGCACTCGAAGACTTTAATAAGTGGTCATGTGGTTTAATTAATACATGCTGTATGATTCGACCTTGTCTAATTAACAAGTACAAATTGAAATCACATACTTTGGCATGTATCCTAAATATCATTTTTTTATTTAAAAGTTCAATTATTTCACCAAATATGAGAACCCTATACAATCTAATTTCATTTTCAAGACAGCAACTAATCTTGTTGTTTCATTGTCTAAATTTCTTTTCTTCAAATAAATCATACTTGTTAGTTACAATTAAACCTTTTGGTCAGCCCCTCCCAGAAGCACATGATAAATAGCAGGCAGATAATTGCCAGTTCAGGGTCTCATTTGTTTTCCTTATAGTGTGGTTCCTGGTAGGTGTTTTCCTTTCCTAGCCCCTCAGAGGACTAATAAATTAAGTCAGTGTACTTTTATAGAGGAAGTTTCACTGCTGTTAAGTGTTAGGGGAAAAACTTAAAAAATATAACACACACACACACACACAAAACCCCCAAACCCTCTAAACTCTATAGCAACTAGGAGGCCTTAGAGAGATGTTGCCTATTTTCAGTGACAATATGGGCATGTTTCAGTTGTAGAGAGCAAGCCATCGTCACTTATGAAAGGCAGATTGAATAGGCGTTTGGGCTTTCAGAAATATGAGTTCAAAAAGGAAAAAGTACATTGAAGAGTATGCTGTCATCCATTTAGCTTATGGAATGCCTGGGATGATCTGCCATGCTCCTTTCCCAGGGCCTGCCTTCCTTCCCTCACGGGGCCACTCTGAGAACCACTCTGCTAGTGCACTTGTACCCCACCCTCTGGTCATTTCACATTAGCCCAGCAGTGTTAGAAAGCACAGGTGGCAGAATAACCTGGTACAAAGCAGAGACAAAAACAATGAAGTGTGGAAATGTGGGTGTGGTGGCAGGGACCTTTTCTTCAGGAGGAAAAAATTATTTTTAAACTCAGAATAATTACCATAGAGGAAAAAAATACCATGTTGTAATTCCTTGCACTTATTTTGAGGATTGATTCTTATATTTATTTTTCAATGTATTTAAAATACATGTGAAGATGGTTTGTTTGGGGTTGTGACCTTCTTGGTGCTTAGGGCCTCTAAAAACTTAATCTAGCCCTGGGCCAGTGAGGGAGCTTCTCAATTAAACGATTTGAGTCAGTAATGGTGCCCACATTCTTATAGTTGATTTGTGCAAAGAGAGTTCATGACACAAGTTCTTTCCTCTGATTTTGTGAGTTGACTAAGAAAGGGTAACTTCAATCTCTCTCTTTTTTGGCTAAACTATACAATACAAAGGTCAAAAACTGTGGGAGAGCCAATATGGCCAGCAGATGTTTCCTTATTAGTCTTCCCAGTGTTTGAAAACTTTTTAAAATTAGTTGACACTTAACTATCAGAAAATTTCATATAAAAATCTTGAGTTTAGGCTTCTCTTCAAAAAAACTGTATTTGGCAACAATGGACGGATATTTCTCCATAGAGACCATTGGCTGGATCTCTGATATGACCTGGGATGGGGCATGCATTCTCGAATTCATGGGCTGGGAAACATTTTCTGTAAAGGGCCCAATACTAAATATTTGCAGCTTTGCAGGCCAAATGGTATCTGTTGCAACTCCTTGATTATGCTGTTGTAGCACAAAGGCAGCCATAGACAATACATAAACATTATTTATAAAATCCAGCCCAAGAGCTGAATTTGTCCCTGGGCCACAGTTTGACAACCTCTGTTCTAGTTTGTCGTAGCCAGCACCATTCCCTATTTTCTTCAACCAACATCATATTATCTCTAACTTGAATACAAATTTGGGATTAGTAGTCAGAACCATGTGCCAGTTATTTCAGAGTCCTTACCAGTAAAGCTGGAGTCTGGGTTGAAATCACCACCAGGAGTGCTGGCTGATGTTTTGAAGGGTGACGATTTTATCACTGCTGTCTGATCCTGGGAGTCCTTGTCATCTTGTGGCAGATGAGATTCAGCAGAGCCAGGTCCCACAACTGGTTTGCTAGTATCCCCCAATTTGTGGCACGCCATTTGTTTTTTGCTCCTTTCTGTTGTAATAAAAAATGTTAAAATATGTTGCCATTGTTTTCAATTGTCTTTCAATATGATAGAGAGAGAAATGTTTGAGACAATAATTTATTTCTAGGCGGTGACATATCTTGGTTGCAGGCCATCAGTGGATAAAATTGTCTGCAGAGAATTTAAAAACAATAAAATCTACAAAATGTCTGACTACTTTTTATTGTCACTGTGCACTGGCCATTTCTACTGCTGCTGCTTTGGAACACCACTGTTCCTGGGATTAAGTCTGTTGTCCAAATTAAAGCCTAGTTTCATCACTGATCCACTGGAGTTGAGTTGTAATTCCAACCTGTAGTATGGAAACTCACTCCATTACTTAATTGTGGCCTCCTAAACAATTTTTGAATTCATTCTCAGAGCAAATATGTGCTTCTCTTCTTACTTATATGTTTCTTCTGTTGTGTTCTCTCTTTCCCACTACCCACTACTATCTCCTATTTCTGCCCTCTTTAAATTCTGAATATTTTGGTTGATTATTTTTATATATTTACATCATAAGCCTGTATTTGCCATCCCTTATGTTGGCTATACAGAAATAAATTTTCTTTGTTTTTACTTCTCTGATAGAAGAAAAGAAAACATCATAAAAAGGAGAACCAAACAGAGATTATTACTGACCACATGTTCTTGAGGGAGCATAGTAGCAAGATACCTTTCGAGCTGGATATATCCACTTCTCCTATTTCAGTTGATATATGTGGTTTGGTGGCTTTCTTTCTTGTCCTTCTTAATTTATTTATCATGCTGGCCTCAGTCTCATTACCTTCATCTCTTGCATCCTGTAAAAGTTAATAAACAAAAAGCCAAATAACAGACCATGCACACAACTAAATTTGAATGTCAAGAAGGTATGATGATTGGATAGCTAAATTTTAAAATGAGTATGGGAAACTTTTATAAAGTGCTAAATTTTGTCATTTCCACATCCACTTGAATAATTCAAAATTACAAAGCCCAACATTCTGCTGACAGGTTGGATTTTCTGTATATTTTTCTCTATGTGATACGGAAAATATCATGAAAGAAACTAAAATTTTGTCCAACTAGTCAAAATTTTTATCTTTATGTTTTATTCTGGGGTATTTTATATAATTTATTTCTAAATAATTTTACCAAACTCATTTCAGCTAAAAATAAAGTCTTCTTTACATGATTTTTTATCTTTTTTAGGATCTCTAATATTTTTGACCAGAGGCGTAAGTACCTGAGAATTTGATTCTTTTCTCTCTTTTCCTTACCCTTATCCTTATGACATCGATATTTACTTAAAAAAAAAAAAAAAAAAAACTTCA